GTCTATTTTTAAACCTGGTGATAATCAGTGACTGATATCACAGTCTGCAAATTTATATTCAGATTATTCGTAGCCTGGACAGCATGGAAAGCAGCATGTCTAGTAATGCAAGTCTGAAATCAACCCAATATCCTACTCAGAAGAAGAGAATACAGCTGTCATACGTTTACACACACCTTGCAGAATCTGCAAAATATCAATAGTTTTAATAAAAGAGTGATTTTTTTATGATCCGTTATTTTGTTAAAATTATAATTTTGCACATTCTGCAAGGTGTGTGTAAACGTATATGACCACAAATGCACACACTAGGGCTTGAAAACACAGTGTACAAACATTTATGATGTAAAAATAAGCTTTAAGTGAGTTACAGCATGTCAAGCACCAGCATGACATTTGATTTACTAGAATCCACTGAGAAGCAAAAGAGTCCTTTGAATTTCTGTGCTGTAACTAATGTCATAGCTTATAAGCTTTCGAAATCTCGCTTATAATCAGACCTAACAATCTTCCACATTGCCACAGCTGCAAAAAGCATCAGTGTGAACTCCTGCATGCATAAAAATATGATAAAGCCTATTTGAAATTTTCAAGAATGCATACAGATTGCACTCGTCTGTCTCTAAACAGCACAAATCAGTCCAATCACAGCAAACGCTAACACCTCTATTTTCATTCAGTTGCTGTTTATTAAAATGTCAGGGGTGCTGACACAGTTGCGCTTGTCTTTGAATTAAAGTTCCCAAGATACTCTCATATACCAACACTACCAAAAATAGCAGTTGTTAGAAAACCTAACCTTGCCTAGTGTATCTCTTGTACAAGCTTCTAAGAGTTGATCTGCATAAATAACTATTCGGACACTGCAATTCCTAGATTACGGCTTCTGCTGGAGACCCCGGTGGTGTCCAGATATTCTGTACTTCAAATAACTTTTTTTATACACATCAATTTAGCCATTATATGTCCATTATGTGATGCAAAACAGATTTCATAGTTAAACGTGATAATAAAAACAAATCTTTTTTTTGTCAGGTGGCGAATGGACACTCACCAGGCACAGCAACTTTGGGCATGTTGGCTCTGACACTATCACTCTTTCAGTAGAAAGCTGGCTGGTCCAACACTGCTCCTCGGTAGTGGGGAAGTGTGCGGGTTGGACACTGCACCAGGGCAATATTAAGCAGCGGTTGCCCACTGTAATCAAAGCCGTGTACTGGATACGAGGGGCTTGATACTCCAGGTTCTGTGTGTTCAACTATTTTAAGTTTTAACAGACAAACAGATTCAAGTGACAAGCTCACACATGGGAAAGAGGGATATTATGTAAGTGTATACACACACACACATCCATGGATATGTAGGAGAAATAGACACAATATGCTCAGTTTTCAATTAATTTACTGGTAAAACTTCTTGTAATATGATAGGCACATTAAACATATGGTACACATTAATCCCCCCCCCCCCCCCCCACAAAAAAAAAAAAAAAAATTTTTTATCAC